AAATATAGTATTATAGCTATATAGCTAGCGCCGCTTCTATACCTTTCTCCCCCTCCCCCTTCTACCCAGCCTCCCTAGCCTACTCCTCCCGCTATTTAACCCCTTCGAATACCGCATACTAACTGGTTATAACTACCTACTCCGTCTACTCCGCGGCGAATTAATATTAGAATTACCCGAGTATAGTAACCGGTGGCCGGCGGGTGGGTAATCTTTATAGTCCCCCCTTTAAACGCTAAATCTCTAATTATTATTATTGCTCGGCCGTCCTTTATTATTATTAATATTCTTCGTCCCTCTTTTATTATTACTACCTCGCTTTAACCTATTATTATTATTAGTGATAAGGACGACGGCGATAACGAAGAAGAATTAAAGGATAAATTCCCTCTTTTTAAAGAACTTTTAGTATCGTGGTATATTATTAATTAAATTAAATTATTCGTTACTTATTTAGTAAATATATAAAAGAAGGGGGATATAGCTCGTAGTCTCAGAACTAAATAATTAACAATAATATTCGATGATATTGCTCAAGTATTGCATATTAAGTACCCGCACTAGAATTAGAACTACCAGCAGTTATATAATTATTAAAATATATAAAAAATTAATTATCGACTTTAGTTGAACTTTATATATAAAATAGGGGTATTGTTTAATAAGAGGATTAATCTTTTTAATACCTATAAGGATACGTAAGCGTTATTCTTAATTAATAAATTAAAAGCGAACTAATCAAAGATGACCCCGCTAGAGAACCGTAAGGAAATAGCTATGTTATTTATAATCGATTAAGTAATTAGTAAATATATTATCGATATTTATAGCCGGTTATCTAATATATAAAGATTAAATACCTTTAATTAATAATTAAACGGGATATACTATTAGTAGACTTTATTAACGGTAAATAAAAGTAGTATAATAAGTATACTACGGTCGATAAAGTGCTATTTAATAATACTAATAAAAATAAGGAGGAGGGTAACGACGAGGAGAAGGAGGCTATCGAAACGCGCTACCTTATTAAGAAAATGATAATATACGCAACTAGTATCGATTAGCTAACTTTTTCTATTAGTATTAGTTTCAAAGTCTTTTCTTAAAGATTCGAATCTTCTCCTACCTAACTAGCGGCCGCCGGGCCCTTACAATTACGGTCTCTCCCTCCCTCCAATTCTACTTCAATTAATTTCTTATATGCATTAGTTACTTTAAGTATTTTACTATTAAAAAGGATATATAGCAATAAAAAGTAATAGTTAATAATAGAATTAAGGAAGGATTCGGTATATATGGCAGCTTTCGCTAATACGCCTAAAACGAAAATATTATTAATAGAGTAATTGCTTAGTATAATACCTAACCTCAATAATATACCGGTGCCTACTTCCTAAAATTAATTTTAGTTTTTACTTCTTTAAGAAATATTATAATATTTTTATACTATTTAATAACTTTCGTTAATTCGATTCCAATATTCGTATCTTCATATTTATACGTATTATAGTTGAAAAATTGTATCGTAAACTGTAATCGTATTAACTTAATACATTATTGTTATTATTGGGAAATATAGGGGTTTTACTATATTAAATATAAAAAATTGTAAAAGTTAGAAAAATTTTACTAAATCAAAAAATATAGCTAATCTAGCTACCCTCTATTGGGCGAGGTTAGGCTGAGCTAGGCTGGGCTAGGTAGTAAAAATCTAGTAAATATAGGCTTTGGCTTGCTCGCCAAATTTTAAATATAGGGTAAATATAGTAACGTAAACTGCAAGGGCATAGTATGGGAGGGTCGAAGGCAAAGCTAAGATTCCATCTATGACAGAAGATTTCAGATGGGGAGGAGAAAAGAGGAAGAGAACTAGATACAAGCGTGCAGACCCAAATAAATACCCTGGTCGCACAAGCGATAGCGGGACCCACATGTGGGTCGCTGACTGCCAGCGCCATCACATAAACCTGCAATTATAGAATTCAAACCCTAACCTTATATAGATAGTCGATATTGTAATACTAAGAGCTTTTTCGTTTTAACTCTAAAATTAATACAACTAATATTAATCGATTTAATTCAATCTAATGAATAAAATAATATAAACTACATCAATTTTAAATAAATATACAGAAAGTAACTAGCGTTATAAAAAACTATCATTACTATACTTATTTAGCCCGTTTGGCCGTTACGCAATAAACTCGCTCTACCCGCCGCTATTAATAATAACCCTCCTATATTCTATAAGTTAGTATATTCCTAAACCCTACTATCCTCTCGTTTTATTTAATTATTATATTAATTATAATTTTATCCTCGTCGTTATTAATTCGAACGCGACGATCGCTAACTTCCTCTTCCTCTTCTTTATTATCCCCAACGTCTGTTATTACGCCCGATTTAATTATAAAGCACAATAACAGCGAATACAATATTAATTTATAACCGGATATTATATTCTAACGCCGTCGACCTTACAACCTTCTACCTCCTCTTTATTATACCAATTACAATTTCAACTTTTATACGATATTTCGAATACCTTAAATTATATAATTCTTTTCGGTTCTTTAGTCGGCCAACTTCCCTTTTACTGAATTTAATAAAATAATACTAGATTATTAGGTATAGTACTAAGATACTTCGCCGTATATAGTACTCTGCATTACCAAAATAAAACTTCCCCTCTAATATTTTAAAACCGCCCGTATTAAATACTAATTATGTAATTTTAAAATTATATATAAATCCTTTTACCCCTAATAGAACGTATATAAAAAAACTATTTAAACCAACGGCGATTATAACTTTTTAATATATATATTCCTTTCGACCCCGCCACGTTTATACCTATATTTCGGGCACCTATATATAAATAAAAGTACCCTCAACCGCGCTTAAATAACTTTTAAAATATAGCGCCAACGCCGCGTCTTTTAAATTGTATACTGTATTTAAAGGAGGGAATTTAATAATATAATAATATAAAAGAACTATAGCTCTAAAGATTTTATAAAAGTTATAATTAATAATTTTAATATTATAACTAAACTAATAAGCCGCTTCCCACTAAATTTTATTATAAATATATATATCTTAGAAGGTTATAAGCTTTTACTTAAGGAATATCTATCTCGTATTACGTATAGTAATATATTTAGATATTTAAGTAATTAGTTAAATAAAGGGGTAGTATCATATATAATATAAATCGAATAGTTTATCCTCGTAATTATAATAGAGGGTATTACGTATAATAGATTCGCCCTCGTCTTTATTAATATAGACCGATCTATAAATTACTTTATTACTACCTCGACGGCGGACAATTTGAACGATAGTGGCAACGGTAAGAAAGATAGCTACTAGGAACGTAAAAATGCATTATCGAATAAGATATATATCGAAATATTTATTTTTATTAAATATTTATAGTAAAATACAAAATAGAAGGGGGACCCGCGGGGTATTAACAATTCACGCTAACCTAACCTAACCTAATCCATTACCCCTATTAACTAACAAAATACTTCTATTTTTATACCTACCCCTATAAAAATAGAAAACAATAGAATCAAACATCACTATCCCGGATTAAGAAAGCAACAAGACCTTATACAAATATATATAAACATATACAAATCACTGGCAGGGGAGGTACAGCCAAGACTTTCTTATAAGGGGGTTACAGGGGGGGTTACAGGGGGGTTACAGGGGGTTTGGGGGGTCCGAGGTCGGATATTGCCAACTTGTTGATTTGCAGGGGTCGATTTCACATACAAAAGAAAAAACAGCTGGCTGAACCAAACGGGCCCTTATTTACCGGCATGGTATTTCCTTGGAAGAGTGATTGATGATCTGCTGGTCTTTTTTTTCTTCGGTGATGAATAATATCTTTTAGATACTTAAAAAGTCCCTTGTTCTTCAAGATCTGTCCACAAGGACAACCGCATGTTTATTACCCCCGGCCTCGGAGCGTTCACACAGCGAGGAATGTGGGAATGGGGGCGGGGAGCGGAGGTTCCCCGCGTTTTGTTAAATCTGCAGTGGGCATGCCAGATGGTGGTTGTCGTTGGCGCCGTTGATGGATCGGCGTTGAGAATTGTATATTTATCCCGATGAGCCAAGTTTCTTCTTAGACCCCTCCCTCTCGTCTCACATCTTGACCATCAAATCGGTGAGACTTGGAAAGATCATGTGCTTGTTGTTCTCGATGACTTCTTTGGAAATGAGGATGTCAGATCACCACATCGGCCGGTCCCTTTAGGTTACCCCGAGTGACTAAAACGCCCCGGTCGGTGCGGAGAAGCCAAGGTTACGATGAATGCAACGCTCCCCATTCCCCCGCTCCGGAAGGTTGTTTACACCACATTATGTACAGCAAGGGATTTCATGGCGTGATCATGGGGGGCCTTCTCATCCCCAAACTGGCCACTTCAGACTCCAGCGGAAGGTCTAAAGGTAAGGTGAGATCGTCGAGGCCGAGTGGGCGGGCGAGGCACGGGTAATATGGTCGTGTAACCGCCTAGAAATCCTACATATGTAGGGACTCAAGACTGTCCACAGCGATGAGATCTTGTACAACTTCGAGTATCCCGTTCAAGTGTGATGCGGTGTAGATCATGGTTGATGTAAGCGGAGGTGCACTATGGAAGCCAAGTCCAGCATGGCACACAGCGGCAACGACCCGTTTCCGTCCCGCATCATTCTCCGATTTGGGTGAAGATGTATCAGATGTGTTGGCCCAAACGGTAGGCGATGGGCGTCAAGTCGAGTCCAAAGGGACCAACGGCCCAAGGTCAGATCTTCGCCCCGATGCCAACGGTAATTGCAAATCGCTTGCAAAGGCATGCTCAATATACACCCGCCCGCTCATGGTAAATGGCAGCCACCCAGATAATGTCTGCAATATGTCCATACTCCTGACGCCAGTATCCTGGATCCAAACCCCGTGATATCAACCACCCTTATGTGACCGAAGCCGAAAACCCATGGAAGCAACCGAAACAAAACATCACACATTCTTCATATCCTTACTCCTTCAAGCCCAGCATCTCCCTCAAAGCAGCCTCGCTCGCCCGATACCACCTCCCCTTGGCCTCCATCTCATCGTCCGCCCCGCCCGCCTTCTGCGCGTTCTCCCTCCGCCTCTTCGCCTCCCTTGCCGCCGCGCTCACCTGCGTCCTTTTCGCCGCCAAAACCGTGACCTCCATCTGTAGCCGTTCCATCTCTTTTCTCTTCCTCGGCGCCAGGCTCGACAGCTGCTCCACCTGCCTCTCCAGGTCCCTAACTTTCTGCCTCCGCTCCTCCACCAGCGCCGCCGTCTTCGCAAGCGGCAGGTTCATCTCCGGCAGGCTCCCCGGCTGGATGGCCTGCTTCGTCCGCAACTCGTCCACCCTCTTCTGCAGCTCTTCCATCTTTCCGGGCAGCTCCCTCAGCTTGACCCGGTCCAGCTTCACGCGCTCGTACCGCGCTGCGAGCTCGCGCGAGCGGGACTCGAGGTCTTCGACGAGCAGGGCGACTTCGGTCTTGAGCGCCTTGAGCGAGGCCTTGGCGGCCACGTTGCTCGCCTCGAGGTCTGCATTCTCTTGCGGCGTGACGATCAGCGGCGGGTCGCCGACGATGGCGCGTATAAATTTTTCTTTGGTGACTTGTTCGACGTAGGAGAAGCGGAGCTTGGCGAAGAGCTCTTTATAGTGCGCTAGGTCGGCCTCGAGGCTGGCGGGTGTGGGCGCGTCGAGCGCGGAGGAAGCGCTGTGAGCGGAAACGTCTGAGGTGCGCGGGGCAGTGGTGCTTGGTTGCTGGTCGTGTGATTCGTCATTGTTGCTGTTGCTGCTACCGTTGTTCTTGGATGTAGCCGAGTGCAATGCGCTTGATATAGGCTCCGAGATCTTGATGATGGTGATTTCGTCGCGCGTGGAGGCGTCGAGGGCGTCGAGGACTTGGAGTACTTCGGCAGCGCGTTGAAGATGTGCGGTCGGATCTGAAGACACTGATCTCGGTGTCGTTGCTCTTGTCGTCCTTGCTCTCGGCGTCGTTGTTCTCGGTGTCGTTGCTCTCGGCGTGATTGCTCTTGGTGTTGTTCCTTGTGATATCGTGGGTTGCGACGTTGCTGCTATCGCCCCAGCCTCTGGGGGCGGCGTTCGGCGCAGACCCATTGTTGTCCTGTTGATGTTCTTCACCTTTCCCCGCTATCTCCTTCCTCCTGTGTCGTATCTCTTCTCAACGATGGGATTTGCAGGTGACTCGGGGGTTTCGGTGAAGCTACGCGTCGTCGGTATTCCTGGTGCAGATATTCTGGAGATGCCGTGTTCGGGGTTTGATTCGGAGATAGTTTGCCCGTCTGTATGGTTCGGAAGGATATCGGCGGCGCGAAATTGGACTCGGTATGTTGTTGACGTCGAAGTTTAAGATCGCGAAGAACGATGAGGGATCTGTCAGAGGTCAGGGGATCCACTGGGCGTGTACGTGCCCAATTGGGCTAGGATATACGGGATTTATCCAAATACCAGAGCTTCCAGTCTGCAGAGCCAGTCTCACACACATACACACAATCAAGCCACGTTGAACCCATATCGATTATTACCAGTAATATCACAGGATCGCCCTGGGTTGTTGACATTAGCCCCCATAAGGTATGGCCTAGTCCGGGTGCTGGAGACGCTTATCGCTAGTGCATTTTCGCTACCCTAACCCTTATCACTTACACGCAGAGTGCTCGGGTACTTCCGTGACTTGCTCCGAACCTGGAATGTTCACAAGACATCGAACCCTTTGATACATCGACCACATGTTACTCTGTCTAGACCAAGCCACACCGCCCACATGTCGATGGAAAGCACATCGCAAATGTCTCTGTTCACAAACACAACGAGCTTCCGAACGTTTCTTCTTTTTCCATCGACATGACATCATCGAGAATAGTGAGCTGCTCCTAGGGAACCCCATCATCAGTTTATGACTGAATTTGGTAGTCAGTGAGGTTGGGTAACTCTTCGGGTACTGGATCCTTGAACCAATCAGTTTCAGGCTTAGCTGACAACTACCATTGGGCACCATCGAAGAGGGTGCATCCAGAGTTTCCTTGGCTGATGGGGATGGAAACGATGAATGGAGAACAGACGAAACGAAGCTTAGACGAGTGAGGGTAGTGGTAGGTAACGGTGGTGTTGTCTCGTATCTCCTCGCTAGAGACGACGTCTTTTGATCCAAAAACGGTAACTGTTTCGCAGTCATCTCACGACCCACAGAGGAGATGGAGACTTCAAAGACGGAAGCATACCCAGGCTCCCGCGGTGTAGAATGCTGTGAACGTGGTTGTTTTCAAAGAAAGACAGCCGCTAATTTTGGGCGGATACATCAAAAGGTTAACTGTGGCCTCTCATGTCGTGAGGGAAGACTCCATTTGGCTGCAGCGAGTGCTGAAATGGGTTGAGCGAGTGCTCCTGGCTAATCCTTTGGTGACTAGTAGATTCGATTTCAAAAGACACGCAGACGCCACAAGATCGATGTGGATGTCCCCAAGTCCCAAACGAAACAACCCTACACACGAACAATGTCCGCTTTGCAGGAGTTCAGCTTGTTGTGTGGGGAGCCTTATTCCCAGGAACCGCTTGATCGCGGACATGTGGCAGCCTTGATGTTGATGATGCTACCATTCATTCGGAACCTGTGGGCTTTCATCAACTTTAAAAGCGGATGGCGGACCATTGTTTACTATCTGACTGGAGCCCCCCACTCCAAACCACCACTGAAAATGTTAGCTGATTGTAATGTAACCCAGAGATCCATCATCATAAACTGGCCTTGCATCGGGTTGTTGACTTGCCGTGTGTATGCACGGTGATGGGCCTTGCTTCCGGGCTGAAGCCTTCATAACAACACGAAGACGGTGCTGCCGAATCGGATCCATGCCCTATGGCAGTTCTGGTTTTGGCTTTGGTGACAAAAGGGCCATTTCACATGCGGTGGATCGCTGTTCGGATAAAGTTGCTCGAATTCAGGGTTGCTTCCGGCCGACCTTAACGATCCGATCAGGCAGGTAGGGCGCAAGGGATACCTAAAGGCTGTGATTCCTTGCACTGTGTCGCGATGGCACTCATGTTGTTCCTCTACCGCCATTGCTACCAGGGAGCGTCATCTTCTCAGCAGTGTAAGCATAGAGGTACCGTGTGGCTGGATGTTCGAGTTCTTTCTGAGAAGGAGCCATACCGTCGGCAGTGATCCTGCGCTTAGCCGTCCGTCCATGGCGGTCCGTGAAATTTAGCGGTGTTGTGTTACCATGTGGCACAGGGCCTGGCCAGTGAGACAGATCTCGGCACGCTTGATCGCCATGCGTTAGTGATGTTTCCTAGGTAGGATGGACCAGGTCCCTTGTCATGTCGAGCATGATGTGTTGTTGGTACTGTAATAGCAGGAGGCGATAAGGCCACACTGTTTGCTCCCGGGACCGCAGGGTAAGTGGCACGTCACTGTCCTTTCCCAGAGGTTGACTGCATGGCTTGTGGTTGGTGAAGCGTACATGAAGTGGTTGATGACTTGCTTCTGCAAATAAGAGAATTGGGAAATGGGATGGATGAAAGCGGGGGGTCTGAAACTTGGCTGCATTTCTAGTCTGGAGAGGGTTAACGAACGTAGAGGGGTATGGCGGTTGACCTGTCACCCCTCTAACGTAATGATGATAAAGGATTGACATTGACTCTTCAAACCTTTGCGTTATAAAGAATCGAAAACTGAGATGGGAGGTTCGAAGTCGGAAATTTTGAGTAAAATATTTTTGGTAAAATATGCATTGTTGTTCGTGAATTACAAAGTCCACACTACAGCGTAAGAGAATTATTTGATACTACAATTTGACGATAAAATCTTTCCCTAACAACCTGGACAAGTGCTGTCTTCTTTTCACCAATGTCAGCGGGGTTAGTACAGGTACCTATAGTCCAATACAGTCAAATCCTCATGTTCGCTTGTTAGCGAGGAGCATCATTATCGAGGTTGGTGCACCATGTACCCTCAATATCACTTCTCATATTTCGAGCAACAGCCAACCGCAGGGGATAACATCTCCAATCTCCACCCCGATCCTCTTTCTTGCTAGACACGGCCCATATATCGCAACTTGAAAGCCAGGTTTCAGCGCCTCATGCAATGGCTGCATTGTGACAGGGCCCAGAAAAGCAAAGTTCCATCCCCATCAGTCAGCATGCCCCTTTGCAAGCAAAACACGCCATGGCTTCAACTTCCCAAACCATGTTGACGGCATTCTCGATTGATTTCTGGAGACTCTTCCGAGTATATCTTGTTCATATCACTTGTGTCAGTTACCTCGGGAGAGTTTATATGTAAAGAGGACATCCCATGGACGAACTCCTAGTCCCCTTTCAACATCGGAATCGTCACAAGTCGAATGAAGAAATAAAGCAGTGTCCTCCTATCATTACTCCAAGGACTCTTCTACATGCCGACAAATATCAACTCGCCCGTCTCGTATTTCTGATATTCTCTATTCGTGTTACCCCAAGGATCAACAACATGGCGATCTCCCATGATCCGCCCAGCGTCCTAATCGGTCCAGGTGATTTCCACACTGGCCCCTACTACATCATCATTAGCGGAGTAAGTGTACTTCTAAGCCATAACCTCCTTTCCTTGAACTTACAGGCCTCCCAGCTACCGGAACGGACAAGCTGGCAAGATGTCAAAGACTTCATCAAGAGCCAAATTCCGTGGAAACTCGACATCTACGTCAGCATCTTCGGAAAACGCCAGGACTCAGGCTGGGTCCGTGTTATAGGATTCAAGGCGTTCAATCATGTGAGGAGTATGTATTTTCAGGCACAAAAACAATCTATGCCGATGCTCTTACTAACCTCGTCATTCTGATCAAGGAGTTCTTGGGGAGTCGCTTTTCCGAGGCCGAGAGATACTTGCCCATAACCCCGGTTACGACGAGACTGGCGCCGGCCTCGTCCTAGTCAGAGCTCCCTTTTTCAGAGATCGAAGTCTCTTCATCAACCCGGAAGCGCTGGCTGATCCTACTACTACCACCGTATCGGTTCAAGCAGCAGAGGAGTATACCACCACAACCACCACCCCGATAGCATCAAATTCCCCCTCGGAGCAGTCCTACCCAGGAACTTGCGGTACTACCTCAGGGGCACTTTTGGAGCTACCGCATGGACAACAACAATCACAAACACAAGGACAAGGACAGGCACAAACATCACCACCACCACCAGACGTGCAATTCCCCCCCACCCCCCCAAACACCCCCAAAACCTCCCGCTCAATCTCCGAGCCTTCCCTCTCCGGATTCCGGAAACTTGCAATTACATGGAGGGAAGAAGAGAACCCCAAACCCATTGTCAAACCTTCTCCTCCCTCTTCTGCAGGGCCTCTCTCCCCAAGCACCCAAGAAAAAATGGGTTCCCAAATCAAGTCCGAGCTCGCCCCTCTCCTCGCCCCTCTCCTTGCGCGCGGCGGCGGCGGCCCCGTGGACCCTCTCGAGACACTCGAGTGTTTCCCTGGTATTGCGCTGGCGACGTTTAGTTCGCATGAGCTTGCCAGGCGGGCGATCAAAGTGCTGAGACAGTCGGAACGGTTGAATGCGAGACCGGTGGTTGATGAGGTGCCGGAGTTGACAGAGAAGGGGCAGAGAGTGAAGGGGGGGAAGAAGAGGGGAGGTAAGAAAGGGGCTGCTGGTAGGACTGTTTCTGCTCCTGCGGCTGCGGAGGCTGGGGCTGGGGCTGGGGCTGGGGCTGGGGCTGGCGTGAGGGGGGGTGATGATGAATTCCAGGTTCGTAACGAATTCCTTATGGTTTTGGACTCACATACCTACCTGAGGATGTAAAAGACTAATCAGTGAGAAAGCAGACGAGCCAGGGGAAAGATAAAGAAACTACGACGATGGGATCTCGCACCGTAGCCGACGACAAGACCATAACCTCTGCAAGGGGGACTGCCACCACCACAACCGCCACTCGCAAGACTCCAGCCGTGCTTATTGTTAACGGCAGCTGGAAGATATAAAACACGAAACCCCGTACAACTTCAAGATGGGCGTCTCAGCACGGAGAGGAGGCGTCCTGATTGACTAAAATCCAATTAGAATGGAAACAACGATGATGATCAGCATTTGCCTCCTAGCAGACGGATATTAGACTTTCAGACGGGAACGGAGGAAAAAGAATACATACCTGTAGGAACGGTTGATGAGCATGATGAAGCTATGAGGCTACAAAAAGATGCACACAAGACGGAGTTCGGATTGGCATACCCCAAGTTTGTTGTTGTTTGTAAACAGCCATGAGACTGTTTAAGGCCTTTCTTCTCTTTCACTCATTGTTCTCTTCTTGAACTGGAGCAGGCACATGAGACCGGTTTACGAACAATAAATGATCGTAGTATTAGAATAACAACGCTATAATGAATCTAAAACATTTCCCAACCTTGTTGATGCAGGTCTCAACCTCCTCTTGCTTTGCTTGATGATATAGAAAGCGATGGACATGAACCATGCTCTATGATGAATAACGCTCGTGTATGCTCATCCTATAAGGTACCGCTAGGTTTGCCATGTTGTTCCATGCTTTCCCCAAAGCCCTGTTCGCTGATTAACCATGCCTAAAACCATACCACATTCGTAATAATCGTGCGTCCTATAATGATAATCGACAGAGTTGCAACGTAAGGAAACGAGCCTCCTTCTCATGACAGTAACGAAACAAAGGCCCTATGATCTGGGATAATGTCCCCACTCACCTATTCTTCGCCTCCTTGAAAACGCCTATATCGCCGATCCAGTGCCCGGAGAATGTGGTCCCCCATGAAAGTACCCGCGAACAAAACAAATGACCATACCAAACGCCGCTCAGGGAGTAAAGATAAGGGATATGGTGATAGAAAGAGTGCCAGCCGACCAAAGTGAAGATCAGTGCAAACCCTCGACAACCTCATAGGGTTGTTCCTTCCGATACCCTCGCCCGTACTTTGCCGTGATTTCCTCGCCATCGCGTATGTCTCTCAGGGCCACCAGCATCACCCTCCACTTCCCAGTGATCTTCATCACCTTGAAAACCGCCGACGGGTTGACGCCATCATGACGAACCTTGCGAACCCAGTTTCCCATCTGCTGAGGATATAACTCTGCCACCAGCTGGTCGTGAAGATCAGGGCGGCGGACCTCCATCGTCCACTCGTAATTGTTTCTGTTGCTGTCGTGATTGTTCAATTGAGCATGGCCGTTGGGTATGTTTGAGTAATGATGATTGGAGTTGTAAGGAGCGCCTGTCGTGTGTGGTGGCCGCAACTCGCCGACGAGCTCGCCGAGAAACTCATCCGCCTTGAAGGAACCAACCGCACGTACACCTGCACCTCTGGATCCGTCTTCAGTTATGCGCGGGATATGTGGGAGCCTTTTCACCAGACACTTGCAAGATGACTTCTCTGTCGTCATCCGTTTGCTGCTATTGCAGAGGCTGCAGGCCTTCTTGTCTGACTTTGATACAGACATAGGATCCGATGGCCACGGGTCAGTCCAACCGAGCGGTGGCGGCTGTATCCCCCAGTTGTACTTGAGACGGTCATAATGATTCGCCTTGATGAGTTTGAACTGGGACAGAAGCGGGGAAATCTCATCAAGAGACAACTCCGATGTATCCACAGATTCCCAGGCAAATTCTGGCAGTTCCAAGTACTCCCAGATGGACTTCTCTAGTATTTGGCCCATAGCGCACATCCTTCGGACGGCATTGGTGCTGAGCTGAGCATGGAAGTGAGCAAGCTGGTCCTTGAACATTGCCAGTTCCAAGAACCTATTGTCTGAGGGCAAAAGGCACAGGAGCCCATCATACTTCCCACAAATGGTCCGCCAACATTTTCCTTCACGAACGTAGTCGTTGAGCTGGTTCCTACCAGCTACGTCCCAGTTGAGCTTACGGAAAAGCTCACCCCAATCAATATGAGATGATACAGGGCGATCGGAGACGTCCTTTGGACCGTTAGCCTGAGCTGAGGTTTCAATACATTGCGAGAGCTTCATCTTAAAAAACCGACGGAGGAAGACATGTAGCTCCTGGCTGATCTGTTCTGCGTCGTCAATATGATCAAGGAGGTCGAAGCCGCCTCCGGGGATGGATACCGATCTAGAGTACTCCCTCCAATCCCTGATCAGGCCAGCCAACCTCAAAAAGGCTGCTTTACTCCATACCTGTTCAACAGGGGGGCTCTTGGCTGTTCTAAGCAGATCGGCAAGGTGCCCGAAAGAAGTTGCTTCGTTGTCCGGCTTCGTTCTCTTGACTGATGACTGCATTGATATCTCTGCAGGTCTCTTAAGTCCAACTCCGGAGGCCGCTACATTATTCCAAATTGATGGACTCTCCGAAGAAGTTTGATGAACGTAAGATCCGATGATTTGGACAGGAAAGTTACTCTGCTTCAGTGCAGGTGGAGGCTGTAAGATTCCGTATGAAGGCTGCTGAGCACTGAACGTATGCGTCTGAAAATCCCGGTCAAATGCCTGAATAGCTCCGTCGAATGGTTGGAGAACAGGCGGTCCTACAAACCGGATATCTGGTATCTTAAACAGCGGCGTAGGTCCAGTTGCCACAAGAGGAGGTGCTGTCGATTGCTGCAACAGGGGGAAGGTGGCCTGTACTCTCGGATGCTCTTGGTAGTGGTCAACAGAATGACCCAAAGCCTGAGCCTGAGAGGGATTCAGAATCCCTGGCTCAGATCGAACCATGCCGGCCTGTTCTTGCTGTTGTAAAAACATGGCAGTTTGTGAAAGAGGTTGTATTGGTAGAAGATCAATCTCCTCTTGCTCTGGAGTTGCCTCTGGCTCTGTAATAACCTGCTGCACTTCCGGAGCTGCCTGTTGTACTCCTAGAGATGCCTCTGGTTCTGTAATAACCTGTTGCGGTTCGGAAACGACCTGCATTGGGCCACGATCAGCCCGTCCGGAGTCAAAGACAGACGGATTGGCTTCAGATATGCCCGAACCTGGCGGTTCATGGACCGTGGTAGAAACCGTGCTTGGTTTTGAAGGTGGTACTGCTGACTTTGGCTGTTGAGAGTGATAACTATTGACGTCTTCGGGTTTTTGCTGCGGAGGTCCCGAGACTGGGTGTTGTTGTTCACGTTGCTGATCGGTTGCCGGCGCAGAACCCGATGGTATGCCATCATTTAACAAATGGCGCCCCGGGGAAACGGCCCCCGGTTGCTTAGGCTGTGCCATCATTGTCATGGGCTTCGTCTTGGCTGGGAGTGCCATTTTGTCCATAGCCGTCGCATCTGGATTTATGCGAAAGTCTTCGGCGGAGATTGCAAACTGATCGGGGCAGGCTTCGTCGCAGAATGTGTAATTGGGCGGATCGTCGGGTGATGATTCGTATTCGACATTGATCGCTATTGCATAATTTGGGCCAAGATTGAGAACTTGATGGTATGTACCCGGCTCAGTAACCACGGCCTGGCCAGGAACGCAATAGTCAAGTGTATACTCAACCCCCCATTCGTCCAACTTGGCGGGAGGAATATGGCGGCTTAGGTGACGGAGGGCTTGCGAACAGCCGCGCATTTCAGGAAAGTCGTGGCGCATCCGTTCTTCCAGCTTTGCAGCAGAACCCGGCTTCACAAAGCACCAAAACTTATTTTCACCGGCGCGTAACAAGTTCTCCGACCGAACGTGGGCATCTTCTCGATGCATGACCGTGATTGTCTTGCCGGTAAGGTTGAAGTAGATATACTGGGTGTTGATGCCTTCTAGGACTGTCGGGCCTCTGCGTCTCAGCTTATCTCCCGGTGACAGCTCGACATCATCAAATAGCGGGTTGCCGATAATGTACGGTCGGGCTCCATTAGGCGGGTGTGCGGCCGTAGAGTTCCACAGATGCTTTTGCTCTTTCAACGACCAATTTTGCTTCTCGGTCGGAGGGAGAGGAAACTTGGGCCACCTGATTCTCGGTTTCTTCCCGGTGTCAACCTTGACGAGGCCTAGATTGTCCTTCTTGTAGACAAAAGATGTCGCATGGTTCTGATCCGGTCTGCCCATTTTACCAACTTGGAGAGGTGGAAGGTCTCTGACCTGAAGTTTGAAATAGCCTCTGTCCTGGACATCAGGATGAAGCGAGCATTGCTCAAACAGCTCCTCGTTGAGGACATGGACGTCCTGGTAAGTGCAGTCGAAGAGAGGGGCGCTGTCCTTGGGAACGAGAAGCAGCTTGGGAGGCGGAAGCTGAGCTGGCTCTCCAGGCCGTACTTCTACATTATGACTAGTGCCGCAACTTGTTGACGAGTGTGTAGGGATCCTGTTTGTAGCTGGGGCTGGTAAAATGACTCGAGGGGCCGTTACAACGGCGTGTATCTCGTCCTGGGTTGGCGGTTCCGGCTGTGAGCTCTCTTCTCTAGTGACTGCGCCAGCTCCCGCATTCGGGACAGCTTCTGGGACAGCTTCTGTGTGCCGGTGCTCTCGTTGCTGGTATTGTAGCCGGTTTTGCTGGTCTTGTTGAACTTGTTGCTGGCCATGTCGCTGGTCTTGTTGTTGGTGTTGTAGCTGAACTTTTTGCTGGCTCTGTAGCTGGGCTTGTTGCTGATCATGCTGCTGGTCTTGTCTTTGGGGCTGTAGCTGGATTCCTTGCTGACCGTCTAGCTGCTCTTGTTGTGGTACTGCTTGTTGGGGTTGTAGCTGGTCTTGCAGCTGGGCATGTAGATGGTCTCGTTGTTGGCCTTGTAGATGGTCTGACAGCTGCACCTGTTGTTGTACTGGTTGTTGTGGTTGTAGCTGGATTTCTTGCTGGCCTTGTAACTGGTCTTGCTGTTGGACTTGTTGCTGGTCATGTTGCTGGTCATGTTGCTGGTCATGTTGCTGGTCATGTTGCTGGTCATGTTGCTGGTCATGTTGCTGGTCATGTTGCTGGTCATGTTGCTGGTCATGTTGCTGGTCATGTTGCTGGGGCTGTAGCTCGGGTTGTAGCTGGACTTCATGCTGAATTTCTTGCTGTCCTTGTGGATGGTCTCGTTGTTGGCCTTGTAGGCGCTCTTGTTGTTGTACTGGTTGTGGGGGCTGTAGCTGAATTTCTTGCCGACCTTGTAGTTGGTCTTGTTGTTGTACTGGTTCTTGCTCTAGCTGCACCTGTTGCGGCGGTTGATTCGGTTCAACACTCTCGGCGGGAACAAACTGTTGTTGATGGTGGACAATGGATGAGACGTCGACGTTGGATATGGGAGTGTGAGGACCATTGGCCAATGGCTCTGGAGGGATGTCTGAGGATGGGAACGGCAACTCAGCCACCTTGGTTGACACATAACCGATACGAGCTATGATCTGTTCAAATAGATCTCGGGCCGCTTTAACATCGGGCGGTTTGACTTTTCTGATCGGGGTTTCTCCTTCGTCGAGGTAGCGGCGCAGGTCATGACTTATCCGGGCCAAGTCATCACAGATCGAGTCGACGTTTCCCCGTGGTGGTAGACCCTGGCCGTCCATCGTTGTGTTGCACGAGGTTGTGAGCCCGGAAGCTCACCAGAGGCCGAAGTTGGGTTGCCGCAAACCAAAAACGATGTATAAAGCCGCGGGATCGACCGAGGTGCAAGTGGAAGCGGGACGGATTCCACAAGCGATGGAGGGGAAGGGATGAAGTGTTCGAGGTGAGGTGGTGCTCTGGCCCGTGACGCTGGAGTGGGTCAGTAAGTCGATCAGTGGAGGCGCATGCGGTCTTAGGGCTGACCTAAATCGAATCTTAGCTTCCAGATTGCCCTAAAAACTCGGAAGCTTTCCGGCCGCTGTGGAGGAGAGAGGGAAACTGGCTGCACGGCCCGGGCCATCCTCGAACGTGAACCTTTTCCGTTTCTATGTTTCGTGTTTGTTCATGTACAAGATGGTAGACAATTGTTTGTTTTTGGGAGGAGGAAATTACATACGAATACTAGTTCACAGGCGGGGGACAGCCTTTCCTTCCAATACGGATATTACACATGACCGGGCAAGTCCAGTCCAGGGTTGTTTCCAAACGAAACCCGTGGTTTTAGGTAGAGGCAACTACGTCGGGCGTGTTTCCCTTTTCGCGCGCCCTAAATCTCAACGGTCAAAGTCGGTCAAATTCAATCCATCAGACCCCTTCTCCGAATCGCAAAATTATATGGAAATTTCCGGCTTGACCTGCCATCCATCGCTGCAGTGGCCTTTATGCTGTGGCAGCGAACCCCTCAACTTTGCAATGCGTCGGTCGCGGGGAGAGGTGTTTCCAGCTTTATCGATAAGGCAAGCCTCACCGGTCAAACAGCCAAGACCTGGAGCTGTCGGGTTTCCACTTCTGCTGCAATCGATAAGCGTAATGCGCCCCACTTGATTGCAACCTTGTGCTTTCTCCTTCTGGATGCCTGCCGCGCCCCTTGCTTGCATCGTCACTGCACTGTTGGATCTCGGTCGTCGAACTCGGCAGCCTGGATGTCGCAAGACGGGAACTTCCCATTTTTTTCATAAACACTTTTAGTTCTCCATCAATTCTTTATCTACCCCCTTGCCAATTTGCTGGCAATTTCTGAAACCAATTGTTGCAAAACACCATTGTTTGCCATGGGCAACGATACCATGATCACGGATGATTATGTCGCCGAGCTCCTTGCCAAGGAAGCGAGCGAGGCCTCGATAAAGTATTCCTCCATGGGCCTCGAAGCTTTCAGATCGACAAAGTACGTTTGAATCGCCGCGACACCGGGAGTTGAACCATTCATGACTGACCTCCCTTCACCAAAGACCTGCGAACAAGGCAAAGCCAAATACCAACTTCTTGACTCGCATCATTCGCGAAACCGACTCCCACAATGCCGCAATCAAGGCCAAGGAAGCCGCCGAGGCGCAGGCGCGACTGTCCGGCTTAGAAGAAGCAGAAGAGAAGAAGCGACTTAAAACCAACCCTTCGCTACAGGACATACGACGACGGCAGTTAGGCGCAATATCCTCGTTACTTTCCGGGCAAAAGCAAAGGCGTGGGACTGAAGAAGATGTTCGGTCGAGCGCCAGAACGACGTCTTCCAAAGATCACAAGGACAGGAAATCTAGCGACAAGGAAAAATCGAAGCGGGGCGAGAGTCGACGTTCGGATAACGAGGATACAAAAGATACATCGCGAGAAAGGCGCCACCACCATCACCACCACCGACATCATAAGGATGAAGAGAGGTCCTCGCGCGAGGAACGGCGGCACAGAGACAGATCCAGATCGCGCTCTCCACGACACCGCGAGCGCAGACACCGACATCGGTCTCGTTCCCCGCTCAGCAGCGACCAAGAAGGCGCGAAGCACAGCCGCTCGTCGCTCAAGTCCCGAAGCAGCAGATCCGAAAAGGAGAGCCGTTCCCGCAAGGACCGTGACATAATTCCAGAAAAATCATCTACTCATAGACGACACGGCCGGCTGGCCGAAAAAGAGCTATCCGAAAACGAAGATTCGGACCCGCTTGAGGACCTCATCGGGCCAGCAGCACCGCCTCCTGTTGATGCTTACCCCCCACCTGTTCGCACTCGTGGAAGAGGAGCAGGAAGGGGCGGAGCCGCCATGGACGGAAGATTTGCGAACGACTACGACCCAAGTGAAGACATGCAGTTGGATGAGACTGACCTCAAGGTCTCCAAGAATGACGACTGGGATGACATGGTGGAATCTTTCCGTGACCGGCAAAAGTGGCTCAAGCAGGGCGCGGACAGACTTCGGGCTGCTGGCTTCTCGGAAGAGGACATCAAAAAGTGGGAAAAGACCGGTCCCAATGGGGAGAAGGATATCGAGGATGTCAAGTGGACCAAGGCTGGGGAGAAGAGGGAATGGGACAGAGGCAAGGAGGCTAACTAGGCGAAATCACTTCCAGCGTCAAATTTCAAGATCTGGAGGAAAAAACTGGCAAGCAACTCGTTTACATCATGTTGAGGGGCGTTCTTTGTATTATTGGTATGGGTGGCTTCCTTGGGGTTTAGCATTACAAAGGGAAAGGTGTTTAGGCTGCTAAAATGCGGTGATTCAAAATGGTCGCCTATGGGATTTTTTTATGGTTCAAGCAAGCGTAATATCACAGGGAGCACGGCACATTAGGGGTTCAATGATATGTCTTATTTGCTTTTCCTCCTAGCCCTTTCATGTGATTTCCCTCTGCTGCTCAGAGGTTCTAGACCATCTCGCTCGTCTATGTGGGTTATTAGACTACACTAGTTTTCTAAACGTTCTGACTATTTTCCTGATTGTGTACCGGCCTATAGTAGCTATACCAATGCCAACAAAGACTCTTTCAAGGACTGCAAGAAAACCAAGTTCCGTACATTGCTTCCTTAATGTGAAGTGTTTAATCTGCTCTTTTGCTGGCCGTCGATGTTCCAGCAAAGAGCCTTGTAGTGAAGTGACTGGGTATAATCCAAATTCGTGATTTGCTTGCAGTATTCATCTAGGAATTCATACAAATGAGCACACAAAATAAACGAAGGCTTCACACAGCCAGATATTCTAGTTCGAAAGTGTCTTGATCTTCACCCTACTGCAGAGTTTGGTTCCTCGGACATGTACTTGGCACAAATAGCATGTATGTATCCTATAACAGTCTATCATGTAAAATTACAAGTTCATTGACAATAACAATACTACAGCCAGCTCAAGTGCTCCTAGAGCAAACCATATCCTGCATCTGTCGATCTACCCGCGCTGTCTGCCTCAGACACTTGAATATCGCGGTTCTGTCGTGATAACCTCCCTTTCCGGTTGATCAAAAGCCTTACAGTATAGTGTATAGCGTTCAGTCCTTTATAGCCAACAGCCCAACTCCACCTCGCTACTGATGAACAGACATATGCCCCCCCTCTCATTCCTGCTCCAAAGGTCCCCACGTAACCTTGACCTTCTCACCATGCTTATTCTTGAGCTGAGTCTCCGCAACATCAGTTTCCACAACTCCCGCCTCATCAAAGTCATTAGTCGCCCATAACCTCTCAACGCAGAGCTCATACGGCCCGGGCTTCCTGTCCGTAGTCGAGAACCCGATCGACAAGACCTTCTGGCGCAGCATTCCCGTCTGCGGCTCGATGACCTTGCCATGGTTCGTGCGCACGAAATCGTTCCACTTGATCAACACCGTCTCCCACTGGCCGGGCTTCACAACAAAAAGTCGATGCTGGTGCAGATCGAGCGGCACCACCGACTCAGTCCGGACGTTGACAAAGTAACTGCGCGCGTCCGTCTTGACACGCATAGCGAGGTAGGCGTAAGGGTCGATGTCCCACACGCCGCGGCCGAAGATGGTGGGAGGGCGGTCCAGCGTCCGGAAGCCGGCGTAGCCTGTCCGCGAAATCTCCCGCCGGTCCGTGGGCAGCTCTAGCGAGATGGTGCCGTGGAAGCGCGCATAGCTGCCGGGGATCGGGGTGTACGGTTTTCGGTCGCCGTCGCCGGAAGTGGTAGTGGGGATGCCGTTAGGCGGGGGAACCCAGTCGAGATGAGCGGTCGAGGAGCCGCCCACGTCGGCGTCGGAGAGGAGCTTGCAGTCTGCGACTGACTCGGGCGTCTGGAAGTTGTGGATCTCTCGTGGCCCCGTGGCGCCTTTGATATTCTCGGATTTGGCAACTGCGAACAACCAACCAACCAACCAGTCAGCCCTGTGTCAGCAACGACGCTCGAGGTTCAATGGTGCATAAGAGCTTGAACTGGGGAATGGGTTCGGGTTCTCGTACCGATGTTGGTCAACCGCGAGAGCTCGTCGAGACTCCGGCTCCAGAAGCTCTTGAACGGGAGGGACTGTGTTGCGCGCATGGTTGTCTCCTATGCTCGTCCAACGGGCCAGCTCGAATAGACGATAAACTGATAAGGGTGATGGAGCCAGTCGGCTCAATACCCCGGGCGCATTTCTCAAAGTTACGGAGGCACTTGTTCAGGAACCGGGACGAAGAGGCCGGGGTCGGTGGGTTGGCAGTCTCCAATTCTCCGCATCTGATCGGCAGGTTGAGGAGCTTTGACCTTCGCGCACGGCATGTGCAGTTAACCCTAACCCTTAATACTTTGGCATCACAACAGGCTCGCATCAATCCATTTTTTATGTCATTTGCAATTGCGCCCGCTTGTTATGTTTGGTAAGTCTTGGTTAATTCTTTGAGTAAAGTAGCACACGAAGGAATGTGAGTGAGTGTATCACCAGAAGGCACTACTGTGCGCTTGGTCTCGCGAGCCTGAACGATGTGAATTGGGGACGTCACTGCAGCTGTGTGTGGATGCGGCTCCGCTTTTCATCGGCAACTTCCGAATGACACCTGGCTCCCGCAACGACATCACATCAAGTGGTTGACGAAACAACATCCATCGCTCAAGCTGCGTTTCCGACTTACGAGACTTTCCATGGCTTCCTTGTTATTTGTACAAGATCAAGCGTTTGATTCTGTTGCAAAGCTCCATTCATGTCTGGATTCGTGGTCCATACCACAGAAAATGAGTTCATTGCCGAAGTTCTCGGCAACACCAGTCACCGAAGTTCTTCACTCCCATGTCACTTAATCCTCGACCATCACACTTCAGTTGCCCAGGCGTTTTTCAATACTCGTGGTCATGCGGACTGGCATCTATCATTTTCTTCACGGGTCATACTCTCCAAAAAGAACTCTGTGTATGATATCCTTTGTCTGCTGGCCGACACAGTGGCATACGACACAGGAATCAGTGATTGCAGTACTCGTTGTCGCCCAGCAAATCCGCGACATGTTTGTCATTCGGCCCTTCGACCTCGTCGGCGGAACAATGGGCCTTCTGTCATCAAGAGCGAAGCGACACATGTCCTGTTTGAAACCTTGCCCTGGCATCTGCTTACATAACCAGCATTCCTTCTGCCATCAGGCTCGTACCCTTGACGAGACACTCCTCGATATGTTGAACTCGGGCACCGGACAACATGCGACGCTTTGCTGGTCTTAATGTCTTTTTTACTGGCCGTTCAGGCGTTGGTGTTTCTTGCCTAACCGTGCTTGGGACCAAACTTGTACGTTTGCTTCTCCTCAATGTTTTCAACAACATCGAAGAATTACTCCACAGCGGCTTGCGATCCATGAGGGGTTTAAGGTCATCGAAAGAACTTATTCAGTGTGGCAGTGTTCTTCCAGTGTTAGACGATTTGCTTCAGTCGATTTGACATCTCTTACCGCTATTTTCTTCAGATAAAGCTCACCGGTACTGAGACATCACCGCCAGTCGATCTTGTTGGAAATACCTTCATCCGAACACGATTTCGTGCAAGATTACGGTCTTGATTGCGTCTCACAAGCGGTGATGACCAAATAATTTCAAGATGATATCGTCACTTTCTCCGATAAACGTAAAGGATTGCCCCCGAGACAGGTAGTCTGCCAAAGGTCATACTCCCATTATCCCGAAAGTTCGCTTCATTTCGATGCTGTGACCCTTATGATATATCTTGCTGTGACGCCCTTCCCAGTCGTGCTTCGCTCCCGCTCAACCTCAGTCCCTCAAATTTTGGCGGTTCGGACTGTTTGCGCTTCAAATCATTTACCAAACTATCGTTGATGTCGGCATTACTATTTCATCCTTTTCGACCCGCAACTTTGGTTTGGAAGACTGACAATCATCTATAGCAAACTTTCTTCCCATCAAATTATGGGAAGTACCCAGTGAGCCTGTCCAACACTTGTACTTTCATCAACTCGACTCTCACCCCACGCATACCTATTTTCAGATGACGTTCAACCCTCAGATTCAAACGAGAAAATTGACGGTCAGTCTGGCATTGGGTCCCTGATCAAAAACTACGGTGAGATATTGGAGAGTACTAGGTACTCGCTCCACAAGATTTGAAATTGCGGGTAGTTTGGGATGAACGAAGATTCTCTTCCAAAGGTCACCTCAACGTCAGGCAAGAGAAACCCCACTTTCCACTCAGCTTCGTCAATAACTTAAATATTCCAAGCCTCCCCCTCTTCTTCTCCTCCTCCTCGATTACGACTTCTAGGTCGGCCTTCTTTTATTGTTCGACAGCTTCCACAAGAAGAACGGCTTCCAGATTCAAAAATTTGTTGAGTCATCACCCAAAGCGATGACCCATCAATATGCAGCCTATCCAAATCCAGCGATCTAGGCCCCTTGTCATGCTCGATTTGGCCTCTATTTCCTCGAGGACCTTGACGGCCATACCCACAAGGGCGGTTTCAAAAAAGCAAACAATGGGTGCCCATATCCAGCCCTATTGATAAGCAACGAAGACCGTTTATTGGACGTGGAGAACAATAGGTAGGTCCTGGGTTGAATTTGGGACCCACCACAGTTTCCCTCCCCAGTGTCCTTTTTTCTTCTAACCCATGGATTTTTTTTTTTTTTTTTCCACCCAGAACTTTCTTCCCCTCGCCAACCTTGAATTACTTGGAGAGAAGGTTCACTTGCCATCGCCAATCTCACGAGCGGAACTTTGCCTACATCTACCTCCTCATCGCGGTTTGGCTACAAACTTTTGCCGCGTCACTCTACCAATCGCTGTCCATCGGCCTTCAACAACGCTTGCTTTTGCGCAGCGTCGACCACTTCCAATCGCAACTCAGCCGGTCACCAAGCGCGCAACTTGGGCTTTCGCACAATCGCATCAACCATCTAGCTTTCCCAAGGCGGGAGAAACAGTAAGTGGCTTCATTTTCCTCATGTTTGCTTTCACCAGCCCTTGCGACCCAGGATTCCACGTATTTGTACTGTTCGCACATAATGCACAGATGTGGTTCTCTGGCTCCTTCCCTTTCCACAGCAACTTCCATCTGGAGGCGCACCTTCCTTGTGTCTGCAACCACATTTTCCGCGATCGCGGACGAGACATCAAAAATGAACCCCGCACTCTCGAAATTTTCTCCTCGTCGACAAGTTCTACTCTTCCGTCTTGGTTATTGGACACTCTTCTTCTTTCCTCTCAATGTCTTGCCGTGTCTTCTACAATACACCTTCTGTCCCCATTGGACCTCGGGTTCGGCTCACACCTTATTGCCATTGCACTGCCGCGATCTGATTCTTTCGGGCTTTTCTCCGATCTGTCGGCGTGCCAGTAGCGTGCTCACACTTTTCATAGCAGGCCACAGAGGCATTCCATCTCGACCAATCTCCCAATGCCGTCCGTCATCAACAACGGGATGGCAACTCACGATGACGAGTCATCGTTGAGTTTCTCAACGGAGTCGTCAATCGGTATGTGTTCCCCTTCTTACTCAGTCGATCTTTGTTTGGTTTGATTACCTTTGCCCACGACTAAGTCGTCGCATGGGCTATGGGTTTAATATTTCCTTAATGAAAGAGAATGGACAAAAGAAAACAGATTTCCTGAGCGAGAACAGTGGCCACAACGAAACGGAGTGGCATCCGTCGAGTTACCAGGCACACCGAAACGGAGTGGCATCCGTTGAGATACTAAAGGCACCAACACGGGGTGGCACCCGTCAAGATACCAAAACAGGCACATGTCAAATACTCTCAGCAGACTCAGGCAACTGTTTACGCATGGAAATCAGAAATTCAATCACGGCGTTCTCAAACATTTACGTAAAACAAGGGTATCAAAAAGGCCTTTTGGGAGAAAGGCGGTTTGCGACATGGTGTTTGTTTGATGGGCTTATCACACTTTTGTGCATACTAACTCTGGTTGTCAAGACAATGGTGGAGGATCGCAGGTCAACACTCCGTCTGACGCCTCCGAGTTTGGAGGCAACAAAGGGCAGTATCACACCAGCATTACGCCCACTCGTGCTTCGCAGAGCTACCCCGTTGGTATCATGGCTTCTGGCAACACACCGAAGGCCAACCTGCAGCGTCGTTCCGTCACGTTCGTAGAGCCGGACCCGCCTGCCAGAGAGCATTCCCGGATCACGTACACCATGGTCAACAACACGCCTCCTTCCACGCCGAAGGATGATACATTCGACGCTCAGTACCTTTATCCGCCGAGCGCTTGTGTGTTTGTGGCAAAGTAGGTCATGATTTGTAGGAGTGGGCACACTCATCCGCTAACATATTTTGTTGTTCAGTCTTCCTGAAGCTCGGGAGGATGAAGATCTTCACGCCGCGGTTACCAAGGAGTTCAGCTACTTTGGATTAGTATACGCCAAGATTCGCCGCGACCCCTCCAACATGCCATTTGCCTTCTGCCAGTATACAGTACGTTGATCTTCCCCATCTCTGTTGAAGGGTTTGTCTGACATATAAATAGAATGAAGACCATGCGAAGGACGCGGTGATCAACGGAAAGGGTATTATGATCCTTGGTCGCCCTTGCCGAACCGAGATGGTCAAAGCCAACCGTAAGCTGTTCTCTTCGAATGTCTTCCTTTTCGGGTTTCCGCATACTGACGATCACCCAGGCACCTACGCAATCAACAGACGTGATCACAGAGACATGACTATCGATCAAGCCACTCGCGTGCTTGCAGCTCACGGAGAGCTCAGCAAGTGCTACTTGTTGCCCGCCGAGCATCAGCAGGAACTCAGCCTCCCCCCGACTGTTATCGCTGAGTTCACGGTCTTTGACCCAACTCGCGACATGGGCATTGTATGTATCACATTTCCATTCGCTGTACTTCGCTCATATCAGATGCTGATTCTATTTGTCAGGTCGCCAAGGAGAACCCGGACTATCGGATCGTACCGTACGATGAGCAGAAGCGATCCATTACACCGCCTCGCGACCCGAACAAGGAATTCCTCAGGCAGTACGATGTCGATCGGCGCACCTTGTATGTCGCGCACTTGCCGCGGGACATTGAGGAGACAGAACTGGAGGATCTGTTTAGTCAGGCCGGCACCATCATCAAGTGCACCGTCGTGAGGAAGGACGTCCCTTCTTACTATGGTGTTCGCCAGAACCTCTATGCTTTCGTCGAGTACGAGCATATCGGCGCTCCAGATGAGGCCATCAAGCGCTTCGTGAGTGTTCATTTTCGTCGTGAACATGAGTTTGTTGCTAACCATTGAGCACAGAGAGGTTTTGAATTGCGCGGCCATCCCTTGAAGGTCGAAAGGAAGACCACCAAAAAAGTTCGTCGGATGGTTTCGTCTCCCTTGATTAACAGGGCTCCTGCCTCTTCCGACACGTACAGAGGCGGCCCTCGCACCCCTAACACGCCGTCAAGAAGCACTTTTGCTCTCAGATCCGCCATGAAACAATCGAGCGTCCCTGAGATGGCGGCTCAAGGGTCAGAGTCAGCTCCTATGTTGCTGGCTTACTCATCGGAAGGATCGCCCCCTCAGCGCAGGAATGCCCACGCAGCCCACGGCTTCCACCTCACGGATGGTCCTGCTATGAACGATACTTCTATCCACAAAGCGTCGACAGAGCCGCTTGCTGTCAAGCCTGTCAAGTCGATGCCCAATTTTGCTGCACATGGGGTTCACGGTGGTGCTATTCCTGCCAACGAAGTCCCCGCTGGTGTCTTTCCAGGACCTGCTGCCAATGGAGTCCCCGGTGGCGCCGTGCCGGGACCCCAGTTTACAGCCCTGCCTCATCCCACGGCTGATGTGAATGGTAGACCGATTCATCCTCTGCAGCCTTTGCCTATCACATCCTGGGACCAGCCCCAGCCCGCCTACCCGCACGTCGGCTACATTCCGGACTGGGATATGCACGCGTACATGACTGGGATGCCCGGCACTGGCCCGGTCTTGCCTCCCAATGTCCAGCAGGCTCCTCATGATCTGGTGATGCATAACTGGACTCCAGAGTTTGCGCCGCCGATTCCCCTCGAGGCCGTTCCTCGCGGATTTGTCTGCTCACACTTCGCCTACCATCCCATTACGGGACAGCACTGTGCCGTTTGGATTCCTGCGGCTGCCCAGCATCCCTCGGTCTATTGAGGAGATGGGAGCCATCACGACTGGTCTATTTTTGCCGACTCGGTTGTCGCTCTAAGGTGCGAGCTCTCCACAGTGCCTACAACACTTGGGGCTTTCCTACTTTATTTTGACGACTTTGCTGGTATACCTTGATGCTCCAAATCCATTTCTTTGGCATTTTCCATGCTGTCTTGAAAGACAGGGCTTCTCTGGTATACCGAGATGGACCACGTTCTGATAACTTATCGGCATATTTCTCATTTTCGGTCAATTTCTTTGTTCGCCATGGTCGTATCTTCCTTCTCGATTATGTTTCAACCGCCAGTCAACCTGTTTCCGCGGACTTGTCAAAATCATCGGTTATTGCCAGGCATTGGGTTCGGCGTTTTACCTATTGCGGCGTTCTTCCTTGGAGTTGGGCGATAAAGTCATTTGCAGCGACTTGGGCATATGCTGGTTTCGGCGCTGGGTGGTTATACCCTGGTTGTGTTTTTCTGGTTGGTGTTGGTTGGAAGAATGGTTGGTCTGACCTGGCTGTTTTCGACGATTGTTGGTACATTTGAGTGGTTGGCGTTGGCGCAGTCTGGTGTCTGCGTCCGCATGGATTTGTTTGATTAATGTTGGCGTTTGAGTATTGGCCGGAACGCCTTCTTTGGTAGCTTGAGTGCTCTCAAGTCTGCTCAGGCGGCCGATACTAAACCAGGCGTGGACTTTTAGGGGACAACAGCCAGGACTATCTTAAGGGGTGTTCAGGCAATAGTTTCGGGTCACACAAGGAGACTGGTTGAATATGGTTGGGAATGTCGACAATCTCGTGTATTTGGAAGCAGATGAAGAGTTGGTTTCCGTGTCCTGGGTAAACCTCGTATCTGGTTGTCGCATAGCTACTCGACTGCTACCATTTCCACATTTTCTGAGATAGTGTCCCCAGACCAAATAGATAGAAGAACAAGTCATTTGTCGCGCAGCAACTATCCCATTCAGACACTGCACTCTCCGCACCTCGAGCCTTTTGTCGTTGTTGAGTGAAAGTCAAAGATGATCATGACCCAAAATGTTGTCACACACCGCCATTGGTGGTCGGCGTCCAGGTCGTTCAAAGGCAGTATGTACCGTGACGTGATTAGGGAGGATGCTGGAATGACTGATCCCGAGTACCTGCGCGAGGTAGTACTATTCCAGCCGGATAGGCCGCTCTGGGCCGCTCTGGGCCGAGATGTTGGTGAAGAAAGTTTACCACTCAGCTGATGCAGAAGGAGAGTTGTATCACACTCCCTGTCCTCCGGGGATGCCCTGCTTCTCGAGTACAGCTGTGGTGAGGTTGACAAGCGAAGTGTTTTGATACTAACAAACCCTCACCTGATCAATGCAGCTCACAGTTAGTAGCTTATCTTCTAGCCCCCACACAGGCCAAGCCAACCTACACCATCACATCGGCAACCCTCTTGTTCCAGGCCTGCCCCGATGACCGCGAGAGAGGTACAAGAGCAAAAGGATGTTGGGTATGCTGGGATAGACCCCCACGGCGTTTCGAAGCTAGAGTACTAATAGGTCCGAATTTCTACAGGGCTGCCTTTAGTCGTACGTAAGTGCCCCTGCTACACGAGACTTGGGGTCTCTTTCGTAGGAGAATTTTACTTTGCTTTTGGCGGAAACCAGAGAGAACAATGAACCTATCCAACTTGAGTAATTACGAGAACAGTCATCTGTCAGTTGTTTCGACCCTGATTTGCTGATTTATCCTTGAATTCTTGACTGTTCCTGCTTGAGTTCTTTTCGAGTCCATCCTGGAGCAGGCGTCGATCGTTTCGGCGGATAAGCCAAAACCGAAAGCCCCACTATCTCGCTTAAAAGCAAAGAGAACCTCGACAGTTCAACAACTTTTCCTACGCAACATCGTCCTCAGCAACCACCGAAATCTGTCTGTATTTCGAGCAGAACCCTACCAGAACAATGGGCCAACCATCCTCCGAGGCGTCGAACGCCATCATCTATACTACCTTAGGAGTTTTCCTGTGAGATGACAATCACCAAGCCTCATTCCAATCCAGCTCGGTACTGGGGAGCGTTTGTACTGACTCATCGCCGTAGGATCATGGGAACCGGTGTTGCCTGGACGCTGAGAAACCAAACCAAGGGGGAATATCTCGCCGGCAACAGGACTCAGACGGGTTAGAAGACATTCCTGCTAGGCCCAGACAAGAGAAACTATTGTTCTCTCTATTCTGCCGAGCCATCACCTACTCACATAGCCTCCCGTTGCCACTAAAAATGCGTTGAGCTGGAACTAACATCTCCCTCTCTCCTAGCTATTCCGCTCGCTCTGAACTTCATCGCTTCCGGTGAGTGAGAGCACACAACGCGACAACGGGGCACTCAACATCGACAATTGAGGCCTCTACTGCAACATGAAGATCAGAGCGGTAGCAATGCACCGAACAAAGGCATTTCGACAACAGCGAGAGATAAACGAGACGTGCCGCTTCGAAACTCGACCTTAACAACAATGGTGCGAACCGAGCCAAGAACGCCGGTGTTGAGAGAGGTATAAGTTGAGCAGACTGACAGCATAGGTTCGTTCGCACCCAGTTTCCAACCTATCTTTCATCTTCCGAGGTCGTATCCCGCGTGTCCTCGTTTTGGCACCTTCTCTCCAGGTGGTGTCAGGAAGGATACTATGGATATTACTCAAGGTTAGATGAAAGGTTGCGGCTCACTACGGGCGCCGAGTCAAAAGCTTGCTCGTCTGGATCCAACCTCCCGCTCTTTAATCCTCGTCTTATACCAGAGTCTCCTCGGGGGCGATGGTATTTCTGAGGATAGAGAGGATAAACAGGGAGGAGATCTGGCGACTTGCTGGATGACGAAGCTGAGATTGTACCGTGATTACTCGATCAAGTTAATGCTTGCGTGGGAAACGTGCTGCCGCTCCGATCTATCCCCTCCCCCTACTCCCCCCTCCCCTCTCCCCTTTACTCTTGTGGGTTGGAAAAACTAACCTGCGTAGCTCTCGGATCTGGTATTCTTTTCACTTATCCAGAAATTGCCACGTTGGCCGGTCTTCAGGGCGTGCTTGTCTATGCTTTGGCTTCCGCACTCCCGCTGTTCGTCTTCTCCTCACTGGGCCCTATCATCAGACGCAAATGCCCTGAGGGTTTCGTCCTCACGGAGTGGACCAGACAGCGCTATGGAACCGTCACGGCCTTGTACCTGAGCTTCGTGACGCTGGTTACGCTCTTCCTGTACATGGTTGCCGAACTGTCCGCTATTGGTCAGGTTGTCGAAACCTTGACTGGCCTTAACGGGTTGCCGGTCATCATCGTCGAGTGTGTAATCACGACCATCTATACCTGTATGTGTCTCGTCTTTGAACCCGTCGAACCCGTCGAATGATGGAATAAGTGCTGACGTGGATGCAACCTGCAGCATTGGGCGGATTCCGAATCTCTTTCATTACAGACAACATCCAGGGAGCGATGGTGATCGGACTCATCGTCATCGCAGCCATTGCCATCGGCGTCGAGACCAAGATCGATACCAGCCTGATCGAGCCCTCGGGTCTTCTAAAGGAGAACCTCTTGGGTTGGCAGCTTCTCTACATCCTCCCGGTTGCCATCTTGACGAACGACTTCTTTTTGGTAATGTCTTTCCTAACCGAACAAGGACCGACCCGTTGTCACTTGACTAACACCCAAGCAGTCCAACTTCTGGCTCCGTACCTTTGCCTCCAAGACCGACCGTGATCTCTGGATCGGTGTCACCCTCGCCGCCCTTATCATCCTCATTATTATCACCATGATAGGCTGCACCGGTCTCATCGCCGCCTGGTCCGGCGTCTGGCCCGGCTCGGACCCGGAAAACCCCCTCCCCGGTTCCATGACCTTCTTCGGCCTGCTTGAGAATCTTCCTGCCTGGGTTGTCGGCTTCGTCCTCGTCATGTCTGTCAGCCTCAGCTGCGCCGCCTTCGATTCGCTTCAGTCCGCCATGGTCTCGTCCGCCAGCAACGATCTGTTCCGCAACAAGCTCAACGTGTGGTGGATCCGCGGCGCCGTGGTTCTGGTCATCATCCCCACCGTGGTCCTCGCCATCAAGGCGCCCTCGATCCTGCAGATCTACCTCATTTCCGATCTCGTCTCTGCCGCCACCATTCCCGTGCTGGTCATTGGCTTGTCCGACCGGTGCTACTGGTTCCGCGGCTTTGAGGTGGTCGTCGGCGGGTTGGGCGGTATCTTCACCGTCTTCATCTTCGGCGCTATCTACTACAAGGACGCATACAAGGGCGCTCAGCTGATGCTGCTCGAGGACGGCATCTACCAGGAGGGCTGGGCTGCGTTCGGCGCCTTCGTGGCTGCCCCCGTCGGCGGTCTTGTGTGGGGCTTCGGAGCCCTTGCGCTTAGACTGGCGGTGCAGTGGGTTCAGGCCAAGAGGAAGGGTGTGCGATTCGACGCCCTAGACCGCCCGGTTGTGATGGAGGGAGAGGGCGATGCGGTCCAGTATGTTGCTGGCGGAGACTTGGAGACTATCTTGAGCACTGGACAGGAGTCTGGGGCTGGAAAGATTCCTGGCAAGTTCTTTTGAGCGTTGTCTATATGCTTTGCACCCTATTGTCAGGGCGCAAAGGCCTTGGAGATGCATGGACGGCATGCTTGCCATGACCGTCCAGACGTCCCCTATCGGGGCGAGCGAGGGAATAGCTAACGACAAAAAGGGGGCTGGGACAGTGAGGTAAAGGAGGTTCAAGCTGTGGAGGTTGAAGGATTAATGGGAAGTTTTGGCGATGGATAATATAGGGGGTTGTGTTTTGGTTGAGCTTTCGATTCTCTTTGTCGTCACATATTGTCGGGTGGGTTCATGTCCCCACCCCTCCCTTGTCTTATCGTGTGGGTCCATGCCCTCACACCCTTCTATATTTTAGCCCTCCACATTTCTTTTCCCTTTCTTCTCTAGTCTTCTCTCTATAGCATATATATTTATACATTGTTTTGCTCTCTAGTCTAAAAGGTTATAAGCCTTCTAATCGTGTATTGTATTACTATTATTACGCGTATCTAATAGAATCAATCAAGTCGCCATCGTATTATATAATTGTCGCGTATATGCCGTATTATAAAACCCCGCCCGCCGATAAATCCTATCAATTTTGGCTTATATTATGATTCGCCTCAAAGAATAAAGATTCTCGGCGATTATGTAATTTTCTATCTATAAATTATCATTTTGACCAATAAGAATATAATCTTTATGATTTCAGCTGTTACTTTAGTAATTTTACTTATTAATTTTAATTACGATACGTCTATTATAGAATATAATATAATTATAACGTTAATTCCCTTTAAGGGTAAATCCAATTTTAATATTTAGGCCCGCGCTTTAAAAGTCTAATTAGCTTCCTTTAATTTAAAACCTTATATTACGATTAAAATCCTTACGCTTAAGGGTAAAGCCGCTTTAAAGGAGGAGGATAAGAAAGCTCTCACCAAATAGTATATAAACTATACGAAAGTTATAGGTATTATTTATTTGACTATTAATAATAATAATATTTAATTTATCTTAATAATTAATAATTAGGATAAAGATAACGACGAGCCCTTCTTTAACTTTATTCGTAATTGTTAGGTCGCTAGGGACCTGTTAAGCGTTGGACCTGTATTAGTACCGAGGAGCGCCGATGTCCGTATAACATAGCGCTGTAGTATGGCGTTGGAATGGTTCGGAGCCGTCGCGAACTTAGTTACCACAGGATAGAGCTTACAACGATATAAATAGCCGGTCGAATTCGCTTTTAGAATTATTGGGGTTAATTATTAATATATTTTTAGTTTTCCCCCTACTTTAATGTCCCCTACGTATTTGCGCTATCTATAGGCACTTTAATTTACCTTCCTCTACGATTTTAATACGTTAATAGCTCTTTCTACGAGAGTTAAACTATTACCGATAGGATGTAAATATATAGTAGACGATTTGTTTTTCGGATTTCTAAAGAAACCCCTTCTTTTATTTCCGGTATGTAAGAGTTATTTATTACCTTTTTTGTTGTAATTAATAATAATCTTTAGTAATAGCTTCCTTTTTCATTTTAGTATTATTAGCCGACTATTGAAAAAATAAATAATGATAGTTCGGATAGCGATTATTCTTTTACCCCCTTATATATTTTACGTAATTTCTTCTACTGTTTAAAGAACGATATTATAATATAAAAATAAAGATTCTTTAAGTCTTGCGTAGCGGCTATTTAATTATTTTTAATTTATTTTTTATTCTATATATTTCTTTATAATTGGAATATTTTCGTAGATTTATTAGAGCAAAATTAATTCGGCAATTACCTTCTTATTCTTTTCGGATTCCGATATTAGGATTATTTTTTCTATAATTAAATGTATTTTTCGACCCTCTTTGTTCTTATTATTGCTCCTTAAGTTGTAATGCTTATTATTCTTATATCTACCTAACCGATTTAATTTACTATTTTATTTAAGTATCGCCCTAAGTTTAATATTTCTAAGTTTACTGGCGAGAATTCCTCCTAATTGCGTAATTTTATTTTTAATATCGATAATTATTATTTCGAATACCCCCGGACACCCCTTTTTTTCGCCGTTAATTATATCGAAGGTAATTTTAAGAACGTATAAATTAAGTATATTATAGCCCTTAAAAAGAAAATCGATTACGACCTTATTTATAACGTTCCTATTTGGAAAAATCTCTATATCTTTTTAAAGAAGGAGTATAACGGTAATATTTAAATTATTGAATGCTCCGCCCTTATTAGTTTTAAATGTATATAATAAAGTATTACCAAAACCGTTCGTACGTTTTACGACCGTTTCTATATTGAAGAATTTAATTTATCCTACGAATAACCGGAATATTTGTGCGTCCTATAATAGGCTAACCGCCTACGTCCCTATTTATATAGTAGTATTTTATTAGCGAATAGTATTAATATATTAATTAAAATAATAATATATATAAAGTAATTAGAAATTTTAGAAATTTTAGAATCGACGATATAGTATTAGCGTTTTTAAGTATTGTATTTTTACTTATTTTCTCCCTTTTCTCTTCTTACTTTTACTCTTATTTTTATTCCTATATTTATTTTTAATTCTATTAATTCTTTTCGTCCTCTCTCTATAATTTTTACTAACTTTAATATCGTTTATTATCATTATAGTTAATTTAAATATACGTATGGTTAATATTAAGTAGTAAAATTGCGTAGTATTTATTACGAATATGGTAAGCCTAGATATTCAGTCTTTTCTTATATTAAATATATTTATTATAATTATGATAAATTAGGCTATATATTGTATTAATACCCTATTCCCCGTAGTACTTTAATTTAAAGCGCGAATATTAAGCCGATACTATTGGTAAGGACTACGATTACTTCGGCCTAAAGAAGCGTGGGTATATTGTAATTATATTTAAACATGAAGTTATTAGTAAAAATATATAGAAATTAATGGGAAATTTATAATTTAATAAATTCCAGCGCGGAATTAAATTTTATTAAAAAGTATTCATTCTCGTCGGACGTTAAAATGGAATTTATAAATTACTATTTTATTAATTTCTTTCTCTAACCCGTTTTCGTACGTAGTTCGATTATTTATTTTATTAAAATATACTACTCTTATAGTATTAAGCGGAAAAAAAGGATTACGTTTATAATTATCGATTCCCCTAGCTTAAATATTATTTTTAGTTACCTTTAATTGTACGAATATAATCCTAAAATCGATTAGCGTTAGAAGAGGTTTTAGTTTTGGATTAAAACATAAAATTTAGAAACGAATAAAGAACTGACTAAAGATATCTATAAAATTATAATATTTTTCTACGGTCTATATTAGGATTTAATTTTTATATTAAACCTAAAAGAAATATTAAGGTCTTTTAATAGTTTTGACCCCCTATTATATTCGACCGGTCTTTTCGAAATTCCCTTATCCTTATATATAGAGTTTTTAACCCTATTAGATATCCTAGATTTCCCCGATATTTTTTTCGATATATTTACTCTCATATTTATTAATAAATTTTTAGATATACCTTTTTAGAATTTTTAGAGTTGTGTTGAACGGAGTTTACCCGCCGTTAGAACCCTTATTAGAATTAGTAATTCCGAAATTGTCCGTTGCCGAACCTGAGGAAAAAAAAAACGGCCGCCGCCGAACCGATAATCCTTCTAGAGTATAAAGAGTTTCGATAAATATTCGAAGCGTTGGCTATACCCCTACTATAGTACGACCGTTTAAAATATCGTATCGATTTAGTCGAAGGAGAGTCCGTTCTTTGGGGCCCTATTTATACGTTTAATGTTAAGGACTTGGAAGTATTTTAGGAATAGTTAGTAGAGGCGTTATATAAAGAATAGATTCGTCCGTTTATTAATTTAATAGGGGCTCTTATTATTTTTATTCCGAAGAAGGGAGGTAAATTAAGGTTGTATATTAATTATTATATATTTAATAAAGTAATAAAGAAGAATTGTATAGTATTGCTTCTTATTTAAAAATTTTTAGATTGGTTATTATTAACGAAGATTTTTATAAAATTGGATTTGAAGGACGTATATTATTATATTCGGATTAAATAGGGAAATAAAGAGAAGATGGCGTTTTATACGAAGTATAAGTATTATAAAATTTTAATTATACTGATAAAATTAATTAAAATTTTTATTATTTTTTAAGCGTATATTAATAACGTGTTAGCGGATTTAATTAATATTATTTATATTATTTATTTCGATAATATTATAATTTATAGTAAGAATAAAGAAGATTATTATAAGTATATTAAAGAATTTTTCTAACGTTTATGCGAATATAACTTATATATTAATTTAAATAAGTATAAATTCTATATTAAGAGGGTATTATTTTTAGGTTACGTAGTTTCACCCGAAGGTATTTCGATAAACTTAAAAAAGGTTATAATAATTGTAAATTAAAAAGTTTTGAAAAGCGTTTACGATATTTAAATTTTTTTAGAGTTTATAGGGTTCTATCGATGGTTTATAACGTTTTACTCTAAAGTTATAGTTCCGTTAATAGATTTATTAAAGGGAAAAAAATGAAGACTATTCGAATTATTAAAATTAATTAGAGTAGCGTTCGAAGAATTGAAATAATTATTTTAGGAAGTATTAATATTGTAGTATTTTAATCCTTCTTTATTAATCCGAATAAAAATAGATGTGTCTAATTTCGTAATTAGCGTAGTATTAATGTAATTATATAAAATATATTAATACTTTATTACGTTCTTTTTTCGTAAGAAGTCCCTGGAAAAAACGCGTTACAACGTTAGCGACGGCGAATTATTAGTAATTATAAACGTATTAAAAATATAGAGGTAATATTTATTATGTATTAATAAACCTTACCTTATTATTACGGATTATTTAAATTTTTAATATTTTAAAAATAAGGATAGGGTTAGCGTATAATAATATTGGTAGTCGTTAGAATTAGGGGTGTATAATTTCGGTATTAAATATCGGACGGGGAAATTTAATTTAATAGATGGGTTATTACGGAAATTATAATTATATAAAGTTATTAAAGTAATTAGGGAGGATTATTTTTTAATATAAATTATTGAAGAAAGCGAAGAAAAGGGAAAGGTAATATAGAATAGGGTTATATTAAACGGTAGTATAAAAAGGGTATTATTAATTAGTTGGGAAACGTAGAAAGCGGTAACAGAGAAGAGAAAGTAGTACGAGGATAGTAGAAAAAATAAATCGGTTTAAAGATTAGATTAAAAAGATGATAATTAGGAAGGGGAGTATAAAAAGTGTAGTATTAGTGAAAATAAAGAATTGTCTAAAGAATATAAGGGTTAAAATAAAAACGAAGGGGTATTGAGGAAGAGAATATAATTTACGAATAAGGTTGTTATAAATTATAAAAAAGGAATGGATAAAATCGTCGTTAATTGTATAAAAATATATATAATAA